TGTACTCCCAAGCCTGCCCACCAGTGATGTATCCACCCTGGCTTTGGGGTGCCTCATTGTCTCCCTTCTTCTGTTTGTCTGTGTATTCTTTCGCTATCCCTATCGCCGCTGGATCTCCCCTCCTCGTGAACCAAACACACGTGACAACTATGTCGAGGGAAAACCCCGACAAAAAGGGAAGAACACGCTCAACATTTCTCAAACAGAAAGAACTGAAGAAAAAGTTCAAGCTTCAAATTGCAATATCGAAGGATTCTGTGGCCTGTTCTATGGGAGGCCTGGTGTGGCTCTGTAGGATAAACAATGGGCAGTTCGAATCCACCAGCCAGTGTGTGGGAGAAAGATGAGCCTTTCTGCTCCTGTAATGGTTGATAGCCTCGGAAACCCTATGCAGGGTGGTTTGGAGTCAGAACCGACTCCACGGTTCACAATAGCAGCAGCATGGTAAGCATTGGACTGCTGACTGCAGAGTCAGTGGATATTAGACCCGATATTAGGATTAAGAGCTTGTACTGGTGAATTCCAGAACATTGGCTATCAATACACATTTCTCTTACTACTGCTTCTAAGGAAGAGGGTTAGAGTAGATTAGGGATAGAGTACAAATTGCAGGTCCTCTTCACCTTGCCGCCTCTCTCCCTCTCTTCCTTTCCTTAAAAACTCTTCTTAAACCAGCCTTCCGATGCCCTACTGCTGTCAGAGGTGAACGGGTTAAGCTTTAGCTCAGCCTCATTTTTTCCTACTTCAGTTCTTCCTGTGGTTGCGTTTCCCTGCCAAACGGAAGCAATCCTATCAGTTGCTGTCCCACCCAGCAGGCAAAAGTCCCTAACATTCTTTGGGAAAGTGTTGGAACTTCTCACGAGATCATAGAAAGTTTACCTTTTTTTTTTCTCCTGGGAGCCAAAGCTATTTCAAGAAGAATTCATCTTATGTTACTCCAGTTGAACAATTTCTAGTATTGAGAGCCATGCAAATAGAGCTCTCGGTCAGCTTCTTCTTATGTCTCCTCCCATTCAGCTTTAGTGCCACCAGAAGGTACTACCTTGGCGCCATGGAACTGTCCTGGGACTATCTGCAAAGTGACCTGCTCCAGGAGCTGCATGCGGATGCAAGGTAAAGGCAAGCCTGCTGCACAGAGGTTGGTCAAGGACTGTGACTCTGGCTGGAGGGTTCCTTTGCTTTCTTGTGAGATTGACCATCTTTTCTAATGTTTGTTGGCTGATGAGCTGCTTTTTCTTTTGGGGGAGATTTGTCCATCTATATGCCTAGCTTTCTTGGGTCTGTTAGAGTTTTTTCTTTTAAATAAAAAGAACCCTTTTAACAAGTTTTAACCTTTGTTCATTTATATTGCAATTCCCCCCACGTCTATTGTTTATTTATTGACTTTGTTTCTAGCTTTTACCAAAAAAGTTAAAAATTTTTATATCAAATCTATCTTTTCTTTCATATATTCAGAGTTGCCTCAAGATTGTACAGATAGTCACTCTGATTTTCTTGCAAGATATTAACCATTTTGTTTTTGATATTTATGTCTTCAATTCACCTGACAATTTCTTTTGTCTCTGGCCCAAGACGGAAGTCTGCCTGGTTTGACTTTTATCCCTATTTACGGCCTTTTGTGATGGCACCATCTGTCAAGGAAGACACCTTTTGTCACTGATTTGAATGAACACATTCATCGTACGATCCTGTCATACACATGAGTTGTTTGTGGATTCATCATCATGTCGTTTTACTCCTCTGCCTATCTCTTGACTCGATTAGAGTAGCTGTGTAATATTTAAGAAAAGTATAAAAATAGTGTTTAAGAATGATTTCCCTTGTGATGTCACGTAACGGAAATCAGTCTTGAATGTTACTTTGACACCTCTCTTGGCCATTCTTAGACATTTTATTCTTCCATGTAAAAATGCTTACATATATATTTATATATTCCAAGGGAAAAAAGGCAAGCTTTGTTGTCATTCTAACAGAAACGTCATAAATTTATGCATTCATTTTATTAATATAAATTTAAGTAATTTCATTATTACATTTACGATCCTGGACCATCCCGGTGAGCCCAATACAGTCCATCAGAGAGATGCAATGGAAAAACTGAGTGCTCACTAATTCGTTTTATAAATCCAACAGAACTTTAATCCTAAAATGTAAGGTTGCTATTAAGTGCCATTGAGCCAAGCATTTTTATATGTGCATTGCATGGTGCTCTAGGATAAGCATTGGATTGCTAGCCGTAAGGTTGACAGCTGAAACCCACCAGCCACTCCTTGGAAACCCTGTGCAGGGTCACTATGAATCGGAACCGACTTAATGCCACTTAACAAGTGTTGATAAACTAGTTTTTCGCCTATTTTAATATCTAAAGGTGTAATTCCAGACTACAGACGCTATTCATTTGCATATATTCACTTTGAATCTAGCACGTTTTCAAATTTTCTAGTCATTTTCTAATTATCTCTGTGGGGTTTTAGCCATATTATCAACAAAATGAGAGGATTTTAGCATTTTTCAATGCTTGTTCTTGTTGTTAAGTGCCGTCGAGTCGATTCTGACCCATAGCGACCCTGTATAGGGTTTCTGAGGAGCAGCAGGTGAGCTTGAACCACCAACCTTGCAGTTCAAACAGCTTTGCAGTCTGACGCATTAGCCCACAGCACCACACCATAGTAAATTTATTCAAATACACAGGAAAATGTTCAAGGACAACGGTGAAAGTGAGCACCCCCATCTTGTCCATCATTTTACTTGAAATCGTTTGAATGTTTTGCTGTTTAGAATTTTTGTTGTTAGTTTATGTTAAATTCCCATTTGCCCTAGACTTTTATTGGAAATGACCTTTTAGCACATAGCATGATCTGTTGATAGACAAATCAAGCTAGGTTTTTTAAGATGGAGAACCCACATGTTCTTGCAGTACATACAATCTGCTGTTCACATGATTGGAATATTTCTGGGCTTTATGGGCTAATGGAATCCTGACGTGGCTCTGTAAGATAAGCACTGGACTGCTAACTCAAGGTCATTGGTTCAAAGACACGCAAAATTTGCAGCCTCGGAAACCCTAGACATGGTTGTTATGAGTTGGAACAAGCAGTCAGCATTTCTTCAGAAACTATGAGACTTTACTATGTAGGTGTTATGGATTCAATTATAGCCTCCCCAAATCTGTTGTTGTTAAAGTGGACGGCTAACCGCAACGTTGGCAGTTCTACTCCACCAGTTGCTCTGCAGGAGAGAGATGAGGATTTTTGTTTCCATAAAGACCAACAGCCTCAGAAACCATGTTGTTGTTAAGTGCCATTGAGTCGCTTCCCACTCGGAGCAACCTTGTATAGAGTTTCTGAGGAGTGGCTGGTGAGTTTGACCCACCGACCCCCCGTGGTTGGAATGGACTTGATGGCAATGGGTTTGTAATCCATCTGGGGACAAGGTTTCCTTTGTTATGTTAATCAGAAAGTATTAGCCTTGTTGATGTGTTGTTGTGGTTGTTAAGTGCCGTCCAGTCTGTTCTGACCCATAGCGACCCTGTATAGGGTTTCCAAGGAGTAGTTGGTGAGCTTCAACTGCCAACCGGGCAGTTCAAACCAACTTTGCAACCCAGCGCATGAACCCACAATGCCACACCAGGACTTGAGTATTATTAGCCTAGGATATGCTTTTAACTAACCACTTGTGAGATATGATAGAGATTAAACGAGCAAGTGAGCAGCAGAGATGAGGGATGGTACATGCCCCACCACATGAAAAGCAATAGGGAGCCAAGGAGCCAAAGCTCAAGAGCCTAGGACCTTCCCTCAGAGCCCCCAGAGAGAGAAAGCCTTCCTCTAGAGCAAGGCCTTCAAGACATGGATTGACCCAGTGACCGCACCAATGGGCTCCAGTGTAGCAATGACTGTGAGGCTGGAACGGGACCAGGCAGAGTCACCGTAAGTCAAAACAACTTGACAGGACCCAACAAGAGTCAAGGCCACGATTCTGAGTTTCTAGGCTCCCAAAGTTTGAGAAAAGAATTGTCAGCTTGTTAAAGTTCCCAACTGGTGATATTTCTCTTATAGCAGGAACTAGGTACCTAAGAGGGTGGGATTGACTGATATCTGTCTATCTGAATATATATTTAGATAGGAGCTCTGCTAGCGTAGTGGTTATGAATCGGGCTGCGCACCTCAAGGTCAGCAGTTCGAAACTACCAGCAATTCCTCGGGAGAAGGATGAGGCTTTCTGCTCCCATAGAGATTTACAGCCTTGGAAACCCTGTACAGGGTTACTGTATGGCATGCCACCACCACCATTAAGTTTGGGTCTCTGCCGGGTTTTTGTTGTTGTTACGTGCTGTCGTCGGTTCGGACTCATAGCAAACCTGTATGGGTTTTCCAAGGAGCAACTGGTGGGTTATACAAGGCTGATACTGCGGACCATGCAGCTCCAGTTGAGTTGGTGGTACAATGGACCACAGGATGTTCCGTGGTGCTCTAGAGTAACCACAAGTTCGGCAGTTTGAGGCCACCAACGCTCCATGGGCCAAAGATGAAGCTTTCTGTTCCCGTAAAGACAAACATAGGGTCGCTATAAGTCAGGACTGACTCAATGGCACTTAACAGCAACCTTACATTTTAGGATTAAAGTTCTGTTGGATTTATAAAATGAATTAGTGAGCACTCAGTTTTTCCATTGCATCTCTCTGATGGACTGTATTGGGCTCACCGGGATGGTCCAGGATCGTCGCCCCATCTCAAAGTCAGCTGATAACTATCTTCATTCTATCTGTAAAGTTGCTTTTGCCTTGTAACATAACATACAAGATAGCTTCAAAATGTTCATTGAAAAATTCAATTGGACTTTTCCACAAACATTTCGAAGCCTCTTTGTATCGACAGGTATCACACTAAGGAGCAAAGATCAGGGGGCCAACTTTTTGCTCACCACATGTACAATTTACAACTTCTGAACTATATCCAGTTTGTGCATTTTCGTAAGTGTTGACAAATGCAAATACCTGTTTCACCATCACCTGAATCTACAGAGATCATTTACATTAATTAAGAAAATTCCTTTCTGTAACTTTTCAGTGAGTCCCCAGAGTTTAACCTGACCCCAGGTAAGCAGTTACCTGCTTTTTTGAATTCCAGTTTAGGATTTTTAGCAGTGGCAGAGTATGGTATATATTCATCATACTGTACATATTCTGTGGTTGGCTTTTTTCTTCAGCATAATGTACTTGAAAAACATCTAGCTTGTCTTGTGAACTAGTTGGATCCTTTTTAATGCTGATTAGTGTTTTGTTTTATATATATATTCAGTTTGTTTTTTTCTGATATGAATAAACCTGCAACAAACATTCCTGTACAAGTTTTTGTGTAGACATCTGTTTTAATTTATTGTAGTGAAATCAAGGAGTACAATTGCTAGATCATGCATGCTCAACTTTATCAGAAACTGCTGGACAGATTTGTGGACTAGCTACATCATTTGGTACTCCCATCACAACACATGACATCCGGGACAGACATTTGACGTTGCGATTATTTCCTTTTAGCCATTTTAGTGATGATGTGGTAGTATTTTACTGGTGTGGCACTCTAGGATTAGCAATGGACTGCTAACTGCAAGGTTGGTGGTTCAAACCCATCCGTCACTCCTTGGAAACCCTATACAGGGTTGCTATTGGTCGGAACAGACTCAATGCACTAACAAAGACTAAAGAAGATTTTCAGTTGGGGTCTATCCTATAGGGTCTATCTGAGCTAGAATCAACTTAATAGTAACCAGATTAGCGACTAAAGATAGTGAACAGCTTTGCATGTTATATCTTCTTTGGGGAAGTTTGGATTCAAATATTTGATCCATTCTCTAATTGGCTCATTTGTTATCTTAATGGTGAATTTTGAGAGTCCCTTACTTTTACAGATGTCCCTGCTTTGACTATCCCGCCCCCCCCACCCCCAGTCTATGACTTACATTTTCATTTTCTAAATGGTATCTTTGAAATAGCAGACGTTTTGAAAACTTTTTATTAAAACCCCGAGTTTCTTTCACATGTATATTTTTGTGTCCTCTCCATTTCTATGTGTCTGACCACTGCTACTATCATGTCCTATCATAACATTCCATAC